TCACATTAGCAACTTTCCAAAACTCCGGCACTCTGCCTGACTCTATTGATTTATTAAATATGGTTGACAGTGGGTCACAAAGCTCCTCTTTGCATTCTTTAAGCACCCTGGCAAACACTTCATCCGGCCCTGGGGATTTGTTTGGTTTGAGTTTTACTATTTGTTTAAGAACATCCTCCCTGGTAACTGTTAAACTCGTCAACCTGTCCTCGTCCCCACCCACATAGACTTGTTCGGCTGAAGGCATATTGTTAAGTTCCTCTTTAGTAAATACAGATACAAAATATTTATTAAAAATACTACTCATCTCTTCATCACTATCTGTTATTTGACCTGTCTCAGTTTTTAATGGACCTATCCTTTCCCTAGTCTTAGTACGATATAACTGAAAAAACCCTTTAGGATTTGTCTTTGCTTGCCCTGCTATGCGAACTTCATAGTTTCTTTTTGCTTTCCTTATCTCTTTTTTAACATTTCTAACCAGTTGTACGAATTCCTGTTCTAAAGTGACCTCCCCATTTTTAATCCTTTTGTACCAAGCTCTCTTTTTACCTATAAGGTTCTTCAAATTCTTTGTTATCCACTTTGGGTCATTAGTATTCGATCTATTCAATTTGTATGGTATACTACGTTCCTGTGCTTTGTTTAGAATATTCTTAAATAAGTTATATATTGAATCCACATCGAAATCCCCATTTAAGTCACCTATCGCTGGGTTCATGTCTCGCTCCAAGACCGGCCCACACCCCATACCCAAGACTTTCCAATCAATTTGACCCAAAAAAATTCTTAGGCTATTAAAATCAGCTTTTCGAAAATCTGGCACTTTAACAGAATTTTCTCCTACTGGTCTATTCCATTCTATGCTAAATCTGATTTCTTTGTGATCACTGCTCCCTAGCTCACTCCCTATTTCGATGTCATTAATTTGCGTTTCCCTGTTAGTTAACACTAAATCTAAAATATTATTTTCCCGTGTTGGTTCCTTAATGTGTTGCGTAAGAAAGCAATCGTCAATTAATTCTAGAAAATCTTCTGCTTCACTATTCCCTGTTTTGTTCAACCAGTTTATTCCGCTAAAATTAAAGTCACCCATGACATAAATACTGTTAGATCTAGATGCTCTAGATATTTCATCCCATAGATGCTTTGCTTCCATTCTGTCTAAATTTGGTGGCCTATATATTACTCCTATTATAATATTATTAGCTTTTTCGTTTAATTCAATCCAAATAGTTTCTGTGTGTGGCTCTGTTTTGATTCCCTCTTTGAGACTACATTTCAAATTGTCCCTAACATATATGGCTACTCCACCTCCTCGTCTAATATATCTATCTGTGTGAAATAGTTTAAATCCATATATTTGATATTCAGCTAATAGTTCTCTATTTTCTACATTCATCCACGTTTCGGTAAGTGCAATAATATCTATTTTTTCTGTGCAGACAAGAGCATTTAATTCGTTAATTTTATTTCTTAGACTTCTACTGTTAGTGTAATATACCCTAAGTGAATTGTTATTTTGCGGACCTTCTCTTTCCCTGGTCGTTTTGCCAATTCCTTTCTCCCACAAACACATACTTTTATTACCTCCTTCCTCCAAATCAATTCCCATACCTCTATCTACTAACAGTTTAAACCCAAACAAACACCTCTAACCACTTCTTCTAACGAGTTCGCAACAGCAACAACCCCAGCTCTCGATAGATGCACCCCATCACGAGCATACATTTCATTTCTTCCATAGAAGTGTTCCCAGTTGTCTATGAAAGATATTGCATTTGATTTGCAATATCTTTCCAGCCGGCAATTGACACCAAGTGCCCTCGATATCCATTCATTTCCCACTCCCTTTCTTGGAAGAATGCCACATATGATCGGGATTCCTCCCTTGCTCCTAACTAACTCAATGGCTGTTTTATACCTCTGAATCAGTTCCTCACTCCTAACTCGGCCAACATCATTTCCTCCCACGCTAATGCAAATAATGGGATTGTTCCCATTACCAGCCATAATATCATTCATGTTGTTTATAATATCACCAATGCCAGCTCCGGGATAGCAAACCCTTAACCTGTTCCCCCTATCTCTAGCACAAAACGTTCTATCCAAATACCTTATCTGGGAATCTCCCACAACTAATGTTTGCTTAGGTACTTCCTTTACCCTCTGAGGGGCCTGCGCTTCCTTTCTCTTCGTTGCTTTCCCTTTTGCGCGATCCACAGTCTCTCCACAGCACTCGTCCTCCAAAACGTCAAATGAATTAGAGGTTGCTATGGCGTTTGAAGGCGGCTTTATCAAAGTCTTCTTAAGGCCCCTGTCTTTCACAACTCTCCAAGACGAGGTCCCTTTACTGCTGGTCTCCTCCTTCGTTACTTCTCGTTGTTCTTTAAGCTGACGCACCTCCTCCCGCAGAAAGTCCAACTCTGTCCTCAGGGCTCCCACTAGAGTCACCAGGTCCTTAACTACAACTTCCATATTGCTATGATAATATAACAACACTACGGAGCTCCGGTTAACACAACCTCTCACATTACATTTAATGTTGGATTTCTTAATCCTCCATTCTGTACTAGTACATTTTTACAATATATAGAAATATTTGATAAGTATTAATCATATATTATTAATTACTTCTACATTAAGTTTTACCCAAATACAATATTCAATTATTGACTGAAAAGTCATATACCACCTTCCTAGATCTTAAGTCTGCCTTTGATATTGCCTATTTAGTGCTAGGTTTACAGCTCATTAGGTGAAAGGAAACGCGCCCAACGCTCACAACCCGTCCTCGACTCAAGTCCATTACATCCAGCGGTCGACCCCACAGACGCATTCATAAATTTTAATATGCTGTTCATTCAAAACGGGAATTTTCTCAAGTATAAATTAATATTATAATATATTAGCATATTGTGCATATATTGGCATAGGTTAGGTTAGGTTAGGTGTTTAGGTTCTGTTGGCGATTATTTGTATTTGTAGTACGAGGGTGAAGCATTTATAGCGTTGTGATTCGAACAAAATTCGTCAGTGAAACACTTGTTCCGAATATGTTCGAACGTCAGCAGTTGTGAGTCGTGTGTAAACCGCTTTTCTACTTGAGTACTGTAAGATCTCTTATTGATTATGCTGCACCTGTCATTTCTTGTTTTGGTAAAGGTAGGATGGGCAAGTTGGAGAAGGTACAAAATGAAGCCATGAGAATTATCTTAGGATGCCCAAGAAATGCTATGATTGAGATAATGAGGATGGAGTTGAATCTGCAGAGTATTGGGGATAGAATTTCAGAGATAAATGTAGCCTCTGCCATTAGATTAATGAGAGGTGGGGGAGCTAATGAATTAATCCTCTCGGTTCAAAAGGTGGGAAGTAGTGAACAGTGTATGATGAAGAAGAGAGTATATATGAATAACTTATGTTCTAATGTTATAAAGTATGATGTTATTACAGAGTGTATTGCTGTGCCCAAGAGAAAATTTACACCACCATGGGAGGATTGTAATGTAGATGTAGTAATTACTCCCTTGCATAAGAAAAAAAGTATGTATGAAATAGGAGAGCTGAGGGCAACATATGATTGTATAATTAGAAAACTGCCTACAGAAAACACTCTACATGTATATTGTGATGGGTCAGTAGCTAGCTAGGGACGAGAAGGCAGGATGTGGAGTCTTGATCAGAGAGTACACTGACATCGGCACTGTAGATACTGTTATTGGACGCCGCTTAACTGACAATGTCTCTTCAACGCAGGCTGAACTCCAAGGAGTATTAGCAGGATTACAGGAAGTAGTCAAATGTGGTAAAAATGCTTGCTTCTTTATTGACAGCAGAGGAGCGTTAGAGTCTTTAAATAGCAGACGCCCAGTATATCAGAATATTGTGATAGAGTGTAGAGAGAATGTTAAGAGACTAGAAAAAACTGGGTATAAAGTAAGATTCATGTGGATCCCTTCACATGTGGGAATACTGTTGAATGAGGTAGTTGATGACATAGCGAAGAGAGCCACTGAAAAAACTCTTGTTGATGTTGTATGTCAGTTAACCTTGAAACAAATAAAAACAAGAATCAAGATGATCCAAGAGGGTGAAGAAATGATAAAGAGAATGGCAATGGTGGACAGTAGTAACACACTTAAGAATTATTCAATAATAAATACAAATTCGTTCTTCACTTATGGTAAAGGAAAGTCTACTTGGAAGGATTCAATTTACATGAGATTAAGATTAGGATACAAATATATCTGGCAATACGGTGTTGATGTCAGTGAAAAAGATAAGGAGTGTAAATTATGTAGTATGCCGCACGCCCACACCTTAGAACATTATGTATTAGAGTGTCAACTTATTGAAAACTATAGAAATAAGGAAATAAATAGTGTACCACATCAAATTGTTTGGATGTGTGATAATGGTATGATAGACAGTATACTTAGGAGCTAAAGAATTTTGCCCCAAGAATGTAACAATTATATGCTGTACTTACTATATAGACCTGCAATGTTAAATGGGATTCTTGTAATGTTATTTGTCTATTTGTACTCACTGAATCTGTGCACCCCTTGAGGGACTTGAAGTAGAGGGGGGTAGAAATAGCCTAAGCTACTCTATCCCTTTGAGATGTATTTATTGCTTATCTCAATAAACATACTTGAACTTCAACTTGAACCGCTTTTCATTCATAAACAGGGGGTTTGGCGGTGGCATGGAATCACTTTTGGATCTTTGTTTGGAGGACGGGCTGTTTCTGTTCTGGCTGGGATTCGAACCTGAACGAACCTGTTCGAACCGAACATTCCCGATTATGAGTCTAGAATGGACTAGGTTTGAGGGGATGCCCTCAGGATGCCTCTTAACCCCCTCCCTCATCCCCAGAGCAAAATATAATTTTATTCGTATAAATAAATTTGTAATTTTCCATTTATTAAATAGATTTGTATTGTATGTATGCATCAACGTTATAAAAAAATTCTGTACTTTCTTCGTAAAAATAGATAAAGTCAAATCTAAATTAAAATGTTAAAAGCACGTCAGTAAGTGGATCGCTCACGAACGTTGTTGTTGACAGTGACCATAGTGATGATGGCGTCAATCAGCACCAGGGAGAAACTTTTGTCTCTCATTGATGATACAGAATTAATATCAAAGTAAGTTTTTTATATTTACGTTTCTTGTATCGACAGAGATTATAAATGGAGCCCATTACAAAATAATTTGGAGGGGAAAGCTACCGTTATGCGAGGCATTTACTACGTCAAGTTAACTTTATTGTTAGGATCTCGCAAAGAACTTTTGAGGAAGTTGGAGCATAATTAAAAACAAACTAATTTTTGGGGGAAAGAAGATTGCTTTCCTGAAGTCACAACAAAAATGAAAAATTTACCTGAATTTATCTGAAGGCCCCTATATATCTAGTGGCGGTGATGAGGACAGGAAGCAGGTGGCTTATCAAAGGTCCCACCATCTTACATTGTGGCTTGTTGAGCTTGAAACTGTGTTCCTTGTTTGTGTTATAACTGACCTCTTGGAGAAGTGGTCTGGGTCAACGTCCTCAAAATTGTTCAATATCTTCTTGAGGTTATCTTGAGATGATTTCGGGGCTTTAGTGTCCCCGCGGCCCGGTCCTCGACCAGGCCTCCACCCCCAGGAAGCAGCCCGTGACAGCTGACTAACTCCCAGGTACCTATTTACTGCTAGGTAACAGGGGCATTCAGGGTGAAAGAAACTTTGCCCATTTGTTTCTGCCTCGTGCGGGAATCGAACCCGCGCCACAGAATTACGAGTCCTGCGCGCTATCCATCAGGCTACGAGGCCACATACAGTATACTTATTTAATAATTGTACTGTAATTAAACAAATCTAATAATTATAGGCTCTAGTGTTTGTAAAATAAATCCCATATTACACCTTCATGAGAAAATGGCATAGGTGGTGTTTTGATAGGTAATATTACTGGGTTGTCCAACCCATGCCCTGTTCAAAAATAAAATAAAAAGTACCTAATTTCTTCCTCATAGTTTCCTACCTTGTGCTTCAAACTCATACTGTATCTTGTACTACCAACTTCCCCAATATTAGTACATAAGACACCAGTGTAGTTACCTCTGTCAACTTATGTTGTAGTTATTTGTTGATATAAAATCTTTGCTACAATGTACCCTTTCATCTTACCTGATATCGTATCCTGGCCGGGGAGGATTTACTGGGCGCCAAGCCTTAACTGTAGCCTCTGTTAAACTCAACAGTAAAATGTGTACTTGGTTGTAAAAACGATTCTTCGCTGCGGGGATCGTATTCCAGGGACCTGCCCGAAACGCTATGCATAATAGTGGCTGTACAAGAATGTAACAACTCTTGTATATATCTCAAAAAAAAAAAAATATGATAGATTAAGGACCTGCCCAAAAGGCTGTGTGTGTTAGTGGCTTTGCATGAATGTTAGAATACCAATCTTATGTAATCTCACCAACCCATTGTACCTTCTTGTAAATAAATTATTATTATTATTATTATTATTATTATTATTATTATTATTATTGTTATTATTATTACGGTTAAGTTTACCACAGAGCTAAGTGTACTTTATATTTTTCCAAGGGAGTTGCTGGAAAACAGTGTTGCACCGAAGCAGCAGCGTTTATCTCCCACTGAGTTGGCTCAACTGGTCGAGCTGCTCATCCTCAAAGATGCCGAACTAAAAGACACAATTAAGGTCAGCTGGAACAGATTCTTTATATAAGTATAGTACTGTATTGTATTGATAATATTGTACAGTACAGTGTAAAAAGCTCCACACCCTCATTTATGAAAGCTTTAATACAGTACAGTACTGTAATATGGTAAATATTGTATTTGGGTAAAACTTAATGTAGAAGTAATTAATAATATATAATTAATACTTATCCAATATTTCTATATATTGTAAAAATGTACTAGTACAGAATGGAGGATTAAGAAATCCAACATTAAATGTAATGAAATACCTCTTTCTGCTGATCTCCTTGGTGGCTTGCTGTTAAGTGCCTGGCTTGGCATAAGGAGCCACCAAGGGGTCCCACAGAAAATGTTAACAAAAGTGTTGTGTTGAAACATGAGATCAGAAAACTTATTGGTACGATAGATACTATAATAGTTTACTCTTTCTGGATTTGGTACAGTATTTCAACTCTTCACAATTTATTGGAAAGTAATTGTGAATATTTATGCTGATTAAAACAGCTTTTCATTATATTTGTGAGTCTTACAGGTTTGATGCCTTCTTTAAATAATAATCTACTTTTATTATTTGTGGTCAGCTGGCAAATGACCAGGCCAGGATAGCAGGGATTATGGAGACAGTTGAGGCAGAAGTAGATAAGCATGACCAGATGATCCTCCAGCTTGAGAAACAGCTGCATGATGCGCACCACACCCTGGTGAGAAATGCCATAAATATTTTGTATTGGCAGTTGTTAGACAATTTTTTAGAACTCGTCTGCACATCTTATATCAGATTAGTGACTTTACTTTGAATTCTTTAACATATCAAACCTCTGATGCCAAATATTTCTTTGGTGTCTCTAGAGTGTAGCATTGTACCAAGCCCGGCAGAAACTACAGAGTATTGCAAGAGCTAACAAGCGTCCTGTCAACAGTGAAGAGCTTATCAAGTATGCTCACCGCATATCCTCCTCGTACTCAGTGTCCGCACCAGACACGTGGCAGCAGGGCGATCAAAGGAGACCGTACCCCACTGGTTAGTAGGCATATTTACACTACTAGCATTTTTTATTATCATCAAAATTACTGTATTTGTTATGGTAACATGTTATTTTATCATCGATATTATTCCATTTGGTATTAAATGTTCACTTATTGTACAGCACAGTACTGTACTACCAACAGAATTAATACTGTACCAATATGGTTATAAAAGCACGATACACAACCTGATCAAGACCACCCTCGACCTGGCCAAGATAACACACTTGACTTGGTCAAGACCACACTCGACCATGTCAAAAACACACACACCCACACCCGATCTGACAAAGAACACACCCAATCTAGTCAAAACCACATCCAACTCTACTGTACATGCCTTGCTGTAATAATTAGCATAATAAAAAAATTAATAATAATGGGTTACAACAATTAAGGTGCAAGATTTCTATGATTTTATGCAATAATGTATTTAGAAGGGTTTTAATAACCTTGATTTCTTTTGCTTTTTAAGATTTGGAAATGCGGGCAGGATTTCTAGGACAAAATGGGCAGCTACTACATACGCATTCCCACTCAGACACGATAGCAAGAGGTCACCACGCGGGTAAGTATGGTGCGTCTCAAACTCTTTATTTATTCCATCGATGTCTCAGTGTGGCATGCAGCTGGGCCATGTTTGTTAAATGGTCATGCATGTTGGTATGTAGTACTTGAATTCTTCCTCCATTGTCATTGTAGCATGTAGCATGCATGCATGTCTGCCGAATGGTTGTGCACTATGGTTTTTAATTTTATATACTGTATATACATTCAAGAGTTCTTACATTCTTGTAAGGCCATTAGCACCCATAGTGTTTTGGGCAGGTCCTTAATCCTACTTTTCCTTGGAATATGACCCGCCAAATTTTTTAACAACCAGGTACCCATTCACTGCTGGGTGTACAGAGGCATACAGTTAAGGATTGGCACTTAGTCAATCCTCACTGAACAGGATACAGACCCAGGCCAAATTGCACGCGAAGCGCCGGGTGAGTGTTTTACCACTGTGTTATGGGAACTGTATGTAGTATGTGCTGTGTTGTTTGTTATCGAAATGCTTGCAGGTATAATATCATGATGAGAAAGAAAAAGTTAAAGATATAAATGCACTTGGAAGAAGAATCAGGCTTTGAGTAAGTGTATAGTATTGAAGAGCACTCTTGTGAGCAAGTCAGTACTCTGCACTACACAGAAGGAATTTTATTAAATATCACCAGCAGGTCATTTCGGTGTTAGGACGGTACCAGAAAATATTCATCCGGATCAGATTAGCTCTCTAGGTTATTTATAACATTGTCAAAGACCATTCAGATGCTACTTGGCATCATAAGGACCATCAATGCCTCTCCAAATGCTACTTGACATCATGAGGATCACCAGATTGCACTGACAGTAACTGCCAATTGGCTAGCCAAGCTGCTACCCGTGACCTCCACAAGAGGATAATTATTGTTGACTAAAGTATTAAATGAACCCGATTACATATCAACCTCAAAATAATTCATGGTACTTGATGAAAAAAAAAACCTATTCCATATTCTCTAAATTGCATTGTTCCCCCCTTACATTCATACATGGTTGAGTGTACTCAACCATGTATGTATGTACTCGTACATATTTCAATCACAGGTAGAATGCCCAAATTTTCGGGATATAAAAATTTACCAAGTGCTTTTCCTCTTATAATTACAGTACAGTACTTTCTTCAGTGATAAGAAGTCGTGAAATTATTAAACTTGCAAATGGAAGCATCAATTTAATGAAAAATAAAATCATTGCAAGATGAAATAATTGATTAGTGTTTGCTTTGCATCTTGCATGTCTTAGTTTCTTTTGTATGTTTTATCCCCCCCAGCTCAGAAGGTTAAGCAGTACGCAGTCGTAATGGTGTCAGTGTCCTCAGTTGTAGATACCGTAGTAACTGGTTGAGGACACGGCTATTCTTAGATCTCTGTTTAAAGTTTTTGAAGTACAGTAGATTGTTGCAGTAGCAGTAGTTAAATATATTTATATTCTTAAATGGCTTCTGAACTGTGCAAAACAAAATGCATTAAGTGCTTGCAAATAGCATTTAGTACATTATTGATTTTTCTGTATTATGGTATAGTAAAGCTCCATTTATTCTCACTTTCTTGTGGGTTTATCAGTGAATGGTGTCCAGCAGTGTGGGTAGTTATGAGTGGTGTCCAGCAGTGTGGGTAGTTATGAGTGGTGTCCAGCAGTGTGGGTAGTTATGAGTGGTGTCCAGCAGTAAAGACATTGTCATGAGTGGTGTCCAGTAGTAAGGACATTATTATAAGTGCTATTAATTGTTTCTGACACACGGCAGTGTAAAAGTATTACGGGGGTCACAAAAAGTACAAATCAGAATGTAGTAGGTGTTTGACCCTGTTACAATTTCCCTGTACAGTTTGTATAAACTTATGATCCCTAAAATATTGTTGCACATATTCACAGTTTATCATATACATATGTTTATTGTTGTTTTGCCTTGATAACCATACCTTCGATTTCCCTTGATCTGTCTGTTTAATTCTTTCCCAGAGCCAGCTTCATCAGGTCTGGGTGGGACATTTTCATGGCAGACATCAGGAGAGCTCCAAGTTCACGTTGGGAGTCATACTGCGGTGGTGGAGAAGAAAGAACAGGAAGATGTGGAAGTGATGAGCACGGACTCGTCCTCGTCGTCCTCCTCGGATTCCCAGTGACCCCAAACTCAAGGATGTATAACAGCATAATCTGAAAGTCCAGCATGGCATCATCTGCTGTGTGTCATAGATTATTACAGAAGATTCTGTAAAAAAATCTCGCCATAGTTTGGGCATATTATCCAAGCTTCACCATTTGTGATTATGACTATCGTGAATGGGTAACTAGTTTGTACTTTAATATCTACCGATATCATTGCAAATTAAGGTTTTCAGTAGAAAATAGGAGATCAACTGAAGTAAATCTTCAAACTGTTGTACTAGTTTGACTTTCACTGAAGATGTGAAGTTAAATTATTTATTGGATTACTATTTTCCAACCTCAGGAAGTATCCCTTGAGTCAAATGCAGAGACTTGGTGTCTATGCATTATGGAACAGTTGGTGTGTTCTCTATAATATTTTTTTACATTAATATAACACAATTTTTTATAGAGAGATTTGCAATGCAATTAAATAAACTATTGTGTCTGAACACTTATTATCCAAATATGCCAGATACTTGAATATTGTCATGATAATTCACCAGTCACCTGGACACAGATTTTGGAGTTGACCAGTGGACAGCATACTTGTTTATTTCCATGCACCTGAAACAACATGTATGACCGACCACCAGGTGACATCTTAGTTTGTCTTGGCATACCTGTAAATTGAAGGAATTAAATTATGAAATACAGTGTACTTTCCACATTATCACTGAAAATTGTGTGAATCCCTTGACAGGAATGAAATGGAAACATGAGCAAAGTAATGAAAAGTTCTTTTACAAGGACCTTGAAAGTAAGATAAAGCAGACTGGTACTGGAACAAAATATATAAATCATATGATGGATTACATTGATGACACACACTGTACCTTCAGTATCTTCTCATACCAGAGTTTTGTCCAACTAGCAATGCACTCCAACTTCTGTAAATATTGCATGAAGACCAAAGACATACTGGTGTAAAATTTTTGAAGTGAGCACTACATCTACATTTAAGTAGAATATGAATTTTGTATTTAATAAAAGTTTATATTCTACATGTTTGGGGGACCATTCTTTTATCTGAGCAGTGCCAGGTCCCATGGTGTTTTGATGCCATACTGTCAATATGGCATCACAATATCACAATACACTGTGTGATACTAATTACAGTGGTACCTTCACTTACGATTTCAATCCGTTCCAAGAGACAGGTTGTACACCAAAAAATTGTAAACCAAAACTAATTTTCTCATAAATAATGTAAATTGAATTAATCCATTAAACACACCAAAATATATTAACTTAAAAATACATTTTATACAGAATACTACTCATAATTGTTAGTATTCCTTTATTGAGGACTTTTGTTGGCGTATGGAAGACGGTGAGGAGGGGGGGGAGGTGTTAGTGTTTTAAAGGGAAGTCCCCTTCCAATATAACATCAGGCAGTAATGACATTTCTAGGGTACTCTCTCTCTCTCTCTCTCATTTTGCAGGCATTCCACTAGGACCTGGTTGTGGCTCATTACTTGCTTGTCTGGAGTGAGATATCACATTCATTAACTATGAATGATCTCTTGTTTTTCCTCTATTGTCATCCTCACACTATTCTATTAGGTTGAACTTTGCTACTGACTCTCTTGGGACCCATGGCGTGATATATAATAATAACTTTTATGGTCTGAAACCAAAAAAGCAGAAAAACAATACAAGTCTTTACAAAGAATTCAAGCACGGTTGTCACTAGGTGGGATACACTGGTAAACTGAGTGCCTCGCCCGCGCCCAACAGCACCACGTGCTCGCTCGACCCATACAGGTATCAACAGACGAATCGTATTCCAATGCAAATGTACACCAATTCAAATGTTATGAGACATTTGACGTTGTGTACCAAAAAAATCGTAATCTAGGGCTATCGTAAACCAAGGTACCACTGTACATACATTTGTGTAAATACAGTTGAACATGAGTGTGAGTGCATTGTCCAGTGCATTGATTGCAAATAAGTGCAAACATATTTTAATGTTTTATTCACAGTTCAATACAGTATGTTACATGCAAAGGGGCAGCTGACTAAAGAAAGTTTATTATAAATCTAGTATTTATGCAAAAAGGTTTTACTAAAGGTGTGTAAAATGCACATTTATCTTTGGTACTGACTTGTATATTTTGGCAAGATGAGCTTGAGCGTATAGTGCTACCTGTGATGAATAAAAGGGATGTTTGTCATGATAAGTTTTTGGTAATGCATCTGTCCTTTATATGTAGTGCAGTGATACCAAGATATTGCCTCTGGCCAGCTAAGTGTAAAAGTTGCAAAATAAATTGTTTTTGTCATTACAATTGTTGAATTTGCATTCCTTGCTACATAAAATCCATGTTGAAAGTTTTATGAACATTTTTAACAATAGCTGACTGACAGCCAAAAGCTTTGGAATATCCTAGTAATACTGTATGAATAAAATGTTTATATTAATTAAATTGTTAGTAACCCCACAAGTTAAAAGGTTTTCTACTTAATGCTTGAGGTACAGTATTTATAACTTATTTATATTGTCCCTCAAAATTTCTCAATGGGTTATTTCTGTACTAAGCATTTATATATTTTGTACATAGTTCTCATGTGCAGGTAATTGTGTACAGGTAATTGTTAACATCCTTAAATTTTGCTACAAGCGAGTTCTTCCTGTGAACTGCCATACATGTGGTTCAGCATTAGATCATGAAACAACCAAATAAAAACGAGTATAACTACTTTATTTTTAATTATATAGATTTCTTAGACACACCATATGTATTACCAGAGTTATGTAATAAGGAAGCTATTATAGCCATCTTGATTGTTTTTCTAAACAATCTGATTCGATAAAGGCATGGAATTGGAAGGGGAAGCCATAATAACCCGACCGAGAACGTTAAACACATGATGGAAACCAGCCACTCAAACTGTCATGCCAGACTCAAGGTTTAGGGTCTTGATTAAACAAACCTCAAAACCCTTTTATAAATGACTTGCAAGGAAAGGTGTAGGCAACCAGACAAGAAAATTCACTTATTAGACTCCATTCCCTCCTTCAGCAACAGTGTATAGGACCAACACACACAAGAAACTGGGCCAGGGATGATTGCAACACAAGCATAAATAATACTACTACACTCCTCATCAACAGTCCAGGCAGTGGAGAACAAATTCAGTGCACTATCCAGAAGTAGGATGATGCAAGAACAAGTCTGCTAGGAGAGGAGGATCTTGAACACCTTAGAGCAAGCATCTCTGGTGGGGCAAGGCAAACACAAGCTGACTATGTAGGAAGCCCACAGTTGGAGTGAAATATAAAACTAGAGCACACTCAAAATGTACCCTTTACAAAGAAAACAAGAGAGGTATCACATAATATATATAGTACATGGAAGATACAGATGTCAGATGACTGACAAATGCTTTTTAATATTTACAAATAAAAGAACTTGCCTGTGGGGCATAACAACCCATGCCAAAACTACCAGATTAACAACATTACCTTGCAGCAGATTGATGAAGAAAAGAACCTTGGAGTCAGAATCCATCATTCACTGAAAAATGCACAACAAGTGGGAGCTGCAGTAAAAAAAAAAAAGAAAACCAAACCCTAGGAATAATCATGGGTACCTTTGACATAAAGGTACAAGGGTAGTAAAGTACCCTTGTTTTATAGCATAAAGGTATAAGGTAGTTATACAATTGTATAAATTTTTGGTATGCCCCCACTTGGATTATTTTACCTAAGCATGGAGGCCTTTTCAGAAAGACATACTGTAGCTGCTTTGGAGAAAGTTCAACACCAGGCAACAAAATCATTCCAGAACTAAGCCAACTCTCATACCAGCAATGGGTTGAGTGCCACAGGGCTAATGGCTAACAACACTGGAGTCCCATGATGCCCTCTACCTTCTCACAAAGTGCCTTACCTTGCCCAGGCTAACATACTTTTTAAGGTGTGCACCCACTTTTGGCAACCCACTTCTAAATCAATATGATGAGCTCCTCAGATCAATATTCAGGAAGGCGCTCAACCTAGATTTAGATGACAGTCAGTGGGACCAAGCAACACTACCAGTGAGATTTGGGGGGATAGGCATATGAAAGGCAACTGAGGTAACACTTCCAGCATTCTTATCTTCATGTACAGCAGCCAATGAATTGGTAGGGCAGATCCTACCAGAGCGTATGAGAGAGGCAGCGGGAACTCATGATCAAACGTTCATCAAAGCAGCCAGACAATGGGAAACCATTGCACACCCCCAACCCCGACCACAAGCTCCAAAAGACCACAAGCAGGCCCACTGGAATAGCCCCATAATGGAAAAAGACTGTCACAGCAATGATAGACAACGCAGATGCTGAAAACAAAGCCCGCCTCCTAGTGGTAACAGCACCCCACGCTGGAGATTTTTCATTTGCTATGCCCAATGCAGCCCTGGGAACTTGCCTCAATCATGATGCTCTCCGGATTGTAGTTGCCCTTCGCTGTGCCACCCCCATCCTCACCGAACATAGGTGCATCTGCGGAACTGCAATGGCAGACCAATATGGTCGTCATGGTCTGGCATGCCGTAAATCACAGGGTAAGATTGCAAGACATTAAGAAGTCAACAATATCATCAAGAGGAGCCTCGCCACAGCCCATTGCTCAGCACATAGAGAAGCACACTTATTCAGATCTAACGACCCTCAGAAGCGCCCAGATGGGGTCACCTTGCTTCCTTGGAAGGATGGTAAGCAAGTGGTGTGGGACTACACGTGTGCTGCCACACTGGCCAGTACCTACCTCCACTAGAGCACACGTGAAGGGGGTTGCGCTGCTGCTTTCAGGGAATCGCAGAAAATTATCAAATACAGAGGTCTAGCACACTACTACAGCTTTGTTCCGATCGGCTCGGAGACCCTCGGTTCGTGGGGAAAAATTGCATTGAAGTTCCTGAAGGAATTGGGGAACAAATTGATCGGCGCTACAAAAGGTCAGAGAGCAAAAAGTTTCATGTTCCAGCACCTCAGTGTTGCGATTCAGAGGGGGAATGCCTGTTGCATCTTAGGCACTAGTCCAACTTCAGAGGAATTCGAAGAAGTGTTTGACTTTCAACAATGACCGAACCTGTCTGTGACATTTATCAATGTTTCCCATTGTTGTGTTCTTCAAGAGATCCATAACCTTTAAGCACCTTTTTGCATTATTATTTTTGTATCAACCCATGTATATCTTGTAACCATCAAATGTATGTATGTATGTATGTATGTATGTATGTATGTATGTATGTATGTATGTATGTATGTATGTATGTATACGACATATATATATATATATATATATATGTATGTATGTATATATATATATATATATATGTATATATATATATATACAGTATATATATATATATATATATATATATATATATATATATATATATATATATATATATATATATATATATATATATATATATATATATATATATATATATATATATATATATATATATATATATATATATGTCGTACCTAGTAGCCAGAACTCACTTCTCAGCCTACTATTCAAGGCCCGATTTGCCTAATAAGCCAAGTTTTCCTGAATTAATATATTTACTATAATTTTTTTCTTATGAAATGATAAAGCAACCCTTTTCTCTATGTATGAGGTCAATTTTTTTTTATTGGAGTTAAAATTAACGTAGATATATGACCGAACCTAACCAACCCTACCTAACCTAACCTAACCTATATTTATAGGTAAGGTTAGGTTAGGTAGCCAAAAAAAGCTAGGTTAGGTTAGGTTAGGTAGGTTAGGTAGACGAAAAAACATTAATTCATGAAAACTTGGCTTATTAGGCAAATCGGGCCTTGAATAGTAGGCTGAGAAGTGCATTCTGGCTACTAGGTACGACATATATATATATATATATATATATATATATATATATATATATATATATATATATATATATATATATATATATATATATATATATATATATATGTGTATATCACGAAAATAAACACGTGATTAAGAATGTGACAATGTCAGACCACGGAGGAAAAAGAAACAGGAATTTCCTTAAGTACTTTCGTATATTAAATACATCTTCAGAAGGAATGATTTTACAGATCGAGTGATGGGTATAAATAGGCAGGAGAGAGTGGAGAAGTAAGGTGAGGTACAATACTTGGACAACGCAGACGGCCCATTGGCCCATCAGATGCACCCAATTGGCCCATCTGATGTAGCCCAATGGCCCATCTGATACAGCAGACATACAAGCACAATACATAGGTAATTATATCATAAAAAGGTAAATATATACAATGAATTAGTGAGACAAATGTTTTCCAATGATCCTACTTAAATCGCCCTTTAGCTGATCTATTAGAAATGGATCTAAGTTATATAGACCACTGCTAATATTCAAATTACTTTCTTTGGTGATCTGTATCAAAGCAGATTCAATTATGTTTCTGTTATAGGTGCTTTTACAATTTGTTATTGAAGAAGCACTCTCCCAATCAATTTGGTGAGCTTTTTCTGACAAATGAACAAACAAAGCATTAGACAATTGGCCATGTCTTACAGAGTATTTATGTTGCGATACTCTACATTTTAAATCTTTTGATGTTTGCCCGACATAGAACTTATTACATTCCTTACAAGGTATTTTATAAATGACGCAATTATCACTACGAGGGCTGTTCCTAACTAATAGCTTACCAACAGTGTTTTCGTAGCTAAACATTACATCTATATTAAAAAGTTTCAAGGCCTTAACAATATTCTCAAACCCAGAGAAATATGGTAAACATAACACATTCTTTGGGCGAATCCTTTCACTGCATACATTATTATAATATGTATGACGTGCTTTGTTACGACAAACTTCCAAAAAATTCAGTGGGTAACAAAGCTTAAGACCAATCGAATCAATATTCTTAAATTCTTCGTCTAAGAATTCTGGACTCACAACTCGAAGAGCTCTTAGATACATTGAAGAAAAAATTGACTTTTTTACATTGTATCTATGCCCTGAAAAATAATGAACATAAGATTATTCTACGAATAATTTATCTTATGTTCATTATTTTTCAGGGCATAGATACAATGTAAAAAAGTCAATTTTTTCTTCAATGTATCTAAGAGCTCTTCGAGTTGTGAGTCCAGAATTCTTAGACGAAGAATTTAAGAATATTGATTCGATTGGTCTTAAGCTTTGTTACCCACTGAATTTTTTGGAAGTTTGTCGTAACAAAGCACGTCATACATATTATAATAATGTATGCAGTGAAAGGATTCGCCCAAAGAATGTGTTATGTTTACCATATTTCTCTGGGTTTGAGAATATTGTTAAGGCCTTGAAACTTTTTAATATAGATGTAATGTTTAGCTACGAAAACACTGTTGGTAAGCTATTAGTTAGGAACAGCCCTCGTAGTGATAATTGCGTCATTTATAAAATACCTTGTAAGGAATGTAATAAGTTCTATGTCGGGCAAACATCAAAAGATTTAAAATGTAGAGTATCGCAACATAAATACTCTGTAAGACATGGCCAATTGTCTAATGCTTTGTTTGTTCATTTGTCAGAAAAAGCTCACCAAATTGATTGGGAGAGTGCTTCTTCAATAACAAATTGTAAAAGCACCTATAACAGAAACATAATTGAATCTGCTTTGATACAGATCACCAAAGAAAGTAATTTGAATATTAGCAGTGGTCTATATAACTTAGATCCATTTCTAATAGATCAGCTAAAGGGCGATTTAAGTAGGATCATTGGAAAACATTTGTCTCACTAATTCATTGTATATATTTACCTCTTTATGTTATAATTACCTATGTATTGTACTTGTATGTCTGCTGTATCAGATGGGCCATTGGGCTACATCAGATGGGCCAATTGGGTGCATCTGATGGGCCAATGGGCCGTCTGCGTTGTCCAAGTATTGTACCTCACCTTACTTCACCACTCTCTCCTGCCTATTTATACCCATCACTCGATCTGTAAAATCATTCCTTCTGAAGATGTATTTAATATACGAAAGTACTTAAGGAAATTCCTGTTTCATTTTCCTCCGTGGTCTGACTTTGTCATATATATGTACAGTATATATATATATATATATATATATATATATATATATATATATATATATATATATATATATATATATATATATATACATACATACATACATACATACATACATACATACATACATACATACATACCAACCCGTTCTCGCAAATTTAATAAGTCAATATTGACTTATTAAATATGTGCATAGGTGACATACTTAACATAATAGATACCCTTAAAAAGATTCATAGAAAACATCGACCTTACCTAACCTTGTTAGTATCTTAAGATAAGCATCTTATTGCTTCGTAATTACAATTATTACCTAACCTATAATAGGTATAGGTTAAGTAATAATTGTAATTACGAAGCAATAAGATGCTTATCTTAAGATACTAACAAGGTTAGGTAAGGTCGGTGTTTTCTATGAATCTTTTTAGGAGTATCTATTATGTTTAGTATATCAGCTATGCACGTAGTTAATAAGTCAATATTGACTTTACGAATTTGCGAGAACGGGTTGTACATACACACACACACATACATATATATATATATATATATATACACACAGGCTGCCTGTCCCTGACAAAATGAATTAAAATGAACCAGGGGTTTGGTGCCCCCATATGCTATGTTCAGGAAAGGTAAATAATTATGATGGAATAGAGGATCCACTGTGCACTGAATATTTGAAGATAGGTTGTAAATTATTCTACTGTAATATAAAACATCACAATAAAAAAAAAGAGGTAGATATGTAAATATTTGGAGGTTGCAATAACTATGCATTCTTAGTTTCTGAAATGTATTAGTATTTATTTTACAAGGCATACATAGTATAATACTTGAATAATACATAGTATAATACTTGTATTTTACATAGTATAATACTTGAAAATTTAACAAGGCATAGCATGTTTAGAATTTTTTCTTTAGCGATGAACATTAAAAATTACTGGAAGGTTTAATGACATATTTTAAGAGTTTTAGGTTAATAAAAACTTGTTTAAAAACTCATAAAGGATGCATACAATTCTGTATTTACTGAAGATCTTTGAAAAATCATTACCATGCAACCCTCTCTCCAGTGCAAAATACCTTATGTGCATAGCAACACATGCATAGCAAACTTACTTTTAATTTTAACATTAATATAAAGTTTTAAAAATAAAGCATATGCATAGTACAGTGCTGTATTGTATATTTATGTGGCATCTTGCCACTGTAGACTCTCACCTTAACTTTTTATGTTCTTATTCCTCAAAATGATATGATTTATACACTAAATATCTTATGACACCTTCTTCCATATTAGACATTAATTCATGCAGAATCTGCTTCGTGCACCTACAGTAGGTCTGATACGAGATATTATTTTATCATAAATCTGCATTTCTTCATGTGCGCCTCCTGTTGCTCGTCCTCATTACTCGTCACAGCTAGGCATTCTGGACATTTGTTGTACATCAATGTTTTCTCTACAAACACAGCTTATCAATAGTATAATACTGTAATAATAATTTATAATTTTGTTTTTCTACCTATCCATTTAATTTTTCTGTAAATACACAAGTTAAAATATCTTGCAGTAAATATGACAACATAAAAAATAAAAAAACACAATTTTTCAACGCAATATTTCCTATTCTCCTCACTCTATTCTTCAAACTTTGCATCTTTTCTTCTGAAAAATTATTATTACACACTGCAATGTTTTACCACCATTTAACACTTTTCCAGATTCCACTCCACATACATTTCATTCTTTCCCTTCCATTTCTCTTCTTAAAGATCTCAAACTTCCTGCCTTTCTGAACACTGATAATGTATAAGTTGCCTTCTCAAATGCAGTCTAAAACAAACCTGATTTTATCATTGTAGATTTTTTTATAAACATGTAGTAACACACCCATCTTCCACTTCCTTAAAACACTATTCATAAAGCAGCAGAGCTTTATGATTATGGTTGGTGGCTAAGCGCTAGAACTGAGTGGTCATTCACTGCAAGACAAACATTCAGCTGTGTATTATGGTAGTAACATAAGGAGTTTCCTTAGATGCAGTTGGAGTATTTCTTAGCAACTGCACTGTGGAACACTGGAATAAACTTCCAGAGAATGTAGTAAATGGTAACACATTACAATACTGGATGATCACTTCAGCAATAAAAATGACCATAAAATTGGCAACCTAATTATGTATTATTTGGTATATGGATATCTGTAAATCACATTAAAAAATAATAAAGGAGCATGCACAAGCAAGATTTAGTTAGGAAGCGAGATAATTAATACCGTAACTAGTTTGCGTCCTCACTGACTAACATTTGTGTGTGACTAGGACTGTGCTAACCCAAGTGTTGAATTAAATTTAACAGCATTACTAACTCACTAAAAATATAAGTTTGGGGAATTACAAACTAAAGATTATCCTTATAACATGAAATATTTCCTTACAATACACATCTTAATACTAATGATATAAAGCTATAGTACATTAGGTGGACGGTAGTGAATCACTGACTGAGATTGAGGTACCTGGGATTGGGCTAATGAACTACTTGAGTACATTAAACATTATGTCTGGTAAGCATCATAATGTGATATTTACTAAAGAATAATTACACAGTATTTAGTTACAAGACTATATCTATAACTAAACTATTGCAGATGACGAGTCACGATAACATGGCTCAAGATATTCTGACCATTAAATAATTATTATTGTCCTTTAAAAATACATAGTGAGGACCCCAAAAATACATATATATATTTACTTGTGTTAATTTTGTTATTTTTTTAAATAACTAAAATATGGTATGTGTTTGAAAAAAAGGTAAGAACTCCCATGCACAATGTTATAACTATCCAAGGAAACAGACACAATATAAAACCAATTGGGAAATGTTGCAGAATAATAGAGACTGGCCGGACCAGTGACAGTACAGACAGTTGTGCTGAAAATAAAACTGAGAAAGTGAATGAGCAAGAACTTGTGAATGATCCTCTATACTTTAAGTTAAAAGGGCTATGGTTGATCTCCTCTATACTTTAAGTTAAAGGACTGTTGATATCAGCATTGTCTTGCAACACACAAAAAATTATTATTGAAATTTCTTTAATAACTTATCTATTGAGTACAGCACAAAATATTTTGCTATTTTTTAAATTTTCCTAAAATACCAGATAGACCCTGTTACCAGTGTTAACCTGTAAAATGGTACCTGTTACCATTTTATATTCATATCCTTGAAAATAACATTATACTGCAGTAAATCAACACATGCATCCATTATTTGACTGAATTTTGTTTAAATAAACTTATTGTGATGGTGCTTAAATTTAAACTACACATGACTAAAATATAAACATAATTTACTAATGGGGGCTTTAAATACCCTAGAGATGACTATGAGAGAGTAGCATGCACTGATTACATACCGCAAGTGTTAATAACTTGGTAGAGTACAGTATTACGTGGACGTTGCTACACGAATGATTGACTATAGCAACAATGCTGCTAATTAGTGCTTTTAGTCACTTTATATAACATTTCTATACAAACAATTTCAGTGCTAAAAATCCAGAATTCAATGTAATAAAATGCCTCTATGGTGGGTTCTCTCAATGGCTCCCCATGCTAGTCCTTGGGTTTGCTCAGGAAAAACCACAGAGAAGAACCCTCTCAGAATGCAAATCAATAATACAATAGGATTCTATCTTACTGAATGCACTATTAGTGATTGATATACTGTATTATGGAGGAACTAGATCCAGTTTTTTTAAATGTTATACAGTACTTACACATGGGAATGCAAACAGGCCTCACACCTCAACACCTGCCTACACGCCTTACACCTCAACACCTGCCTACACGCCTCACACCTCAACACCTGCCTACAAACCTCACACCTCAACACCTGCCTACACGCCTCACACCTCAACACCTGCCTACAAACCTCACACCTCAACACCTACCTACAAGCCTCACATCTCAACACCTGCCTACAAGCCACACACCTCAACACCTGCCTACACGCCTCACTCCACAACACCTGCCTACAAGCCACACACCTCAACACCTGCCTACAAGCCTCACTCCACAACACCTGCCTACAAGCCACACACCACAACACCTGCCTACACGCCTCACTCCACAACACCTGCCTACAAGCCTCACTCCACAACACCTGCCTACAAGCCTCACTCCACAACACCTGCCTACACGCCTCACTCCACAACACCTGCCTACAAGCCTCACTCCACAACACCTACCTACAAGCCACACACCTCAACACCTGCCTACAAGCCACACTCCACAACACCTACCTACAAACCACACACCTCAACACCTACCTACAAGCCACACTCCACAACACCTGCCTACTAGCCTCACTCCACAACACCTGCCTACAAGCCTCACACCTCAACACCTGCCTACAAGCCACACTCCACAACACCTACCTACAAACCACACACCTCAACACCTGCCTACAAGCCACACTCCACAACACCTACCTACAAACCACACACCTCAACACCTACCTACAAGCCACACTCCACAACACCTGCCTACAATTAGGCAGGTGTTGTGGAGTGTGGCTTATTTCCAGGCAGGTGTTGGAAACACCTGCCTGGAAATAGATTCATTCCCCTCAATGTTTGCTAATGATTCAAACATTATGAGGATGATTAAGACAGAAGAAGACAGTAAGGGGCTACAAGATTACTTACATAACCTGAAAGAATGGTCCAACAAACGCTCCTAGAGTGTAACTCAAGCAAATGTAAAGTAATAAAACTAGGTGGAGGGAGCAGGAGGTCAGACACAAGGTACCAGATGGGAGATGAAATCTTACATGAGACAGAGAGAGAGAGAGAGAGAGAGAGAGAAGGATCCAGGGGCTGATATCACACCAAACCTGTCTTCTGAGGCCCATATCAAAAGCATATCAGTAGTCTGGTTAACTGACTGCCATTATAAATGTGAGGAATCATTCAAAACCCTGTATATCACATATGTCAGACCAATCCTGGAGTATTCAGCTCCAGTATGGAGTCCATATCTAACCTAGCATAAGACAAAGTTGGAGAAGGTTCAAAGGTATTCCACCAGACTTGTCCCAGAGCTATGAGGTATGAGTTACGAGTAAAGGCTACATGAATTGAACCTCAACTGAACCTCGTGTAGTTGGAAGACTGAAGAGATTGGAGACATGTTTACCACATACAAAATTCTCAGTGGAATTGATACTGTAGATAATGACAGACTATATAGCATGGGCAATACATGCACAAAGGGGACACAGATGGAAATTGAGTATCCAAATGAGCCTTGGAGACATAATAAAAAATTTGTTCTGCACCAGAGTAGTTAATAAATGGAATGCAGAAAGAAATGAGGTGGTGGAGGCAGACTACATACACAATTTCAAATGTAGATACGATAGAGAACACAACAGACTCAGGAATCTTTACATCAGTTGACTGATAGTCGAGAAGTGGAACCAAAGAGTTGAAGCTCAACCTCCCCCCCCCCCCTCACAAGCACAATTAGGTGAATACAGTCCACACACTTCAACACCTTCCTATGGGCCACACACACCCTTATTACCTGCCTGTAGGTGAGAACTAAACCTCGTGACACTGGAAGACAGAAGAGTAGGGGATACATGATCACCACATAAAAGATTCTCAGAGGAATTGATAGGATAAAGACAGTTTGTTTAACACAGGGGGGCACACGTACAAGGGAATACAGGTGGAAACTTTAGTACCCAAATGAGCCACATGGACATTAGAAATAAGTTTTTAGTGTCATAGTTAACAAATGGAATGCATTAAGAAGTGATGTGATGGAGGCTGACTCCATACACAGTTTCAAATGTAGATATGATAGAGCCCAGTAGGCTCAGGAACCTATACACCAGTTGATTGACAGTTGAGAGGCAGGGCCAAAGAGCCGAAATTCAACTCCCGCAAGCACAATTAGGCGAGTGAGTACAAGCCACACACCAACAGCTGCCTACAAACCATACACCTCAACACCTGCCTATAGGCCACACACACCTCAACACCTGCCTACAGGCCACACACCTCAACACCTGCTTACAGGCCACACACACCTCAACACCTGCCTACAGGCCACACACCTCAACACCTGCCTACAGGCCACACACCTCAACACCTGCCTACAGGCCACACACCTCAACACCTGCCTACAGGTCACACAACTCAACACCTGCCTACAGGCCACACACCTCAACACCTGCTTACAGGCTGAGCTTACAGGCCCTTCAAGAAGACCTGGACAAAATAAGTAGATGGAGCACCACTTGGCAAATGGAATTTAATGTTAATAAATGTCATGTTATGGAATGTGGAATAGGAGAACATAGACCCCACACAACCTATATATTATGTGAGAAATCTTTAAAGAATTCTGATAAAGAAAGAGATCTAGGGGTGGTTCTAGATAGAAAACTATCACCTGAGGACCACATAAAGAATATTGTGCAAGGAGCCTATGCTATACTTTCTAACTTCAGAATTGCATTTAAATACATGGATGGCGATATACTAAAGAAATTGTTCATGACTTTTGTTAGGCCAAAGCTAGAATATGCAGCTGTTGTGTGGTGCCCATATCTTAAGAAGCACATCAACAAACTGGAAAAGGTGCAAAGACATGCTACTAAGTAGCTCCCAGAACTGAAGGGTAAGAGCTACGAGGAGAGGTTAGAAGCATTAAACATGCCAAAACTAGAAGACAGAAGAAAAAGAGGTGATATGATCACTACATACAAAATAGTAACAGGAATTGATAAAATCGACAGGGAAGATTTCCTGAGACCTGGCACTTCAAGAACAAGAGGTCATAGATTTAAACTAGCTAAACACAGAAACCGAAGAAATATAAGAAAATTCACCTTCGCAAATAGAGTGGTAGACGGTTGGAACAAGTTAAGTGAGAAGGTGGTGGAGGCCAAGACCGTCAGTAGTTTCAAAGCGTTATATGACAAAGAGTGCTGGGAAGACGGGACACCACGAGCGTAGCTCTCATCCTGTAACTACACTTAGGTAATTACAGGCCACACACACCTCAACACCTGCCTACAGGCCACACACCTCAACACCTGCCTACAGGCCACACACCTCAACACCTGCCTACAGGCCACACACCTCAACACCTGCCTACAGGCCACACACCTCAACACCTGCCTACAGGCCACACACCTCAACACCTGCCTACAGGTCACACACCTCAACACCTGCCTACAGGCCACACACTTCAACACCTGCCTACAGGCCATGCACCTCAACACCTGCCTACAGGCCACACACCTCAACACCTGCCTACAGGCCACACACTTCAACACCTGCCTACAGCTGTGCCAACTTTGCAATCCCACAAAAGTTTATTACATTTTTATGTTTAACCAGTTACCCATTATTATTGCATAAAAAACAGTAACAAGCATAATTCATATAAAAAGAAGCTATATTTGCCAAGGAAGACACTAAATACTATTATTGTACTTAAATGAATAAAATTAGTTGCCAAATTGAAAATTATAAATGAGGAAACTTTGCTGAACTTTGCTCTGATAATACTGAAAACTGTTACCATCATTTTCTCCAAGTGAGAGATCACAGAAGAACATCTTTCAACTAACTTTCAAATACAGTATAGATAACTTTTAAACACCTGATGTTCTATGAACAAATATTCTAAATTTTAATCTAAATTATCTGCATCGTGTTTACAAAAAAATCAGTACAGTGCGAGAGGCCCTCATTTTGTGCGGCACGAGGTAATGACATCATTCACATTATGTCAAGGTTACAAGTGCGAGTGATTATTATTATTTTTTTTTTTTTTTACTTTACAAAGGTTTAGCTCAGATTACCAAGTAATCTGCAGATCAAGAGAATTGTTGGCAGTGTATCAGGCTCCCATATATGACTTGGTAATTTTGGAATATGATATTTCTTGTTTTTTACAATATGGTTTATGATATTTGTGCATCATTTCACTTTCCAAGCATTCTGGATTCCATTTTGTACTGTATTTGTGGGTGGAAAGTAAACAGAACATTATATATTAATGTTCATGTACTGTACAGCAGATACTTTATTGAAGAAAATAAAGTAAAAAACAAACAGCATTGAATGCAATGAAACACCATTTTCTGAGCGAGCCCCGTTGGCTCCCTGGAGCTATCCAAACTGACATGTGCAATATAAGTTTGGGGTCATCAGTCACAGGAGTTCTCTATGCCTACTGAAGACCACGAGCCAGAACCTGGTCCACTCAGAGAGATGCAGGGAGCAGTGGCCATATGAACACACTATCCTTAGAGTATGTCATGTTTGACATTGACCAAGGAGGGCACCCAGAAAGATAGGCAAAACAATACAAATTTCAACCTACATCTGAACAGAGCCAAAGAACTCCCCCCAAAAGAAAACAAACAAGTAAATCGTCATCCAACTAGCACGCCCGCTTGTTAGTGCCCCCCTCCCCCAAATGTAGGGAGTGGGAGCCCGTTCAGGCAAGCAGGTGGTTCACCATCCCAGTTCGTAGAATGATGAAAACACAGACCAAAGGGTGTCAGGGAGCCTCCGGGGCTCGCCCAGAAAATGCTGTTTTATTACATTCATCGCTGTTTTTTTGTGGGGAGTCCTGTCGGCTTCCTGAAGCTAACTACCCACCAATAAGTAAAATCAGGGACTTACCCAGGAGGCGGCGGCACCACAGGTCTCAAGACAAAGATGAGACAACAGGCCGCGACAGACATCTCAAAGAAATACAGTACAAGGCCAGAGAGGGTCCGGAAAGTTGACAAGATATCTAGAAGCCAGGACCCTGTTCGATTTCAAAAATCCCCGCACCCGAATGTCGACCCAAGACATGTTTTCCGAAAACAGCAGCGAGAGCAGCATATTTTCGCACATCATGGGCACAAGGGTAGACCACAGGCTGGCTAGACTTTATGACCCTGCAGACAACCTGAGAATCACGAGCCCTGGAACAGGGAACCAGGGAAACCTGATCCACCGAGAGAGCGTCCACTGACACCGAACCAGTGGCCCACAGGTAGTGATGTAAAGTTGCCACTGGACATAAGACATGACACACCCTCGGCCGAACCAACCAAGCATCCACCACCAACGGACCCCTCTGGAAGCCAGCTGTCTCATTTTTCGCCAGAAAAGGAGAGGGCTGTAAACAAACAAAATGGCTCCCAGGACCAAAGGAGCAGAAACCTTTGTGCCAGAGAAGAGCATGAAGCTTCCAAACCCAACCCCCAGAGGCCAAAGCTAACATAAACACTGCTTTCATAAAATAATCACAGACCAAAGGGGCCACCACAAACTGAGATGAGGAGAGAAATGAGAGCACCCAGTCCAAAGACCAAGAAGGCTCAGGCAGCGCATGAACAGGCCGGAGGTGAAGAACACTAGTGTTTGCAGAACGGAGCAGAAGTGACATCCACCCCGAACGCAAGCTGGAGCAGCTCCGCCAATGCCACACAACATGAAGCGACAGTATTCGGCATGCGATGCCGGTCCAGAAAAACCCAAGAAAGGACAAAACCCGAACAGACACCAACGAATCCCAACGAAGGGAAAGGAATATGGTGGAAAGACTGCCAGGAGATTTCATACTGCCGCTGAGAGGAAGACTGCAGATGGGACACCATCAATGAAGCCACCTGATCACCGTACAAATGGTGATACACCTGCATCAGAAAAACCACACACGAAGAGCGGAATAAGCCAAACCAGCAAGGTACCTCACCGGCCCGACCTGCTGAAAGAGGCCGAGGCGCAGAAAAACTCTTAGGTATATACACCGAGCAAGCAGCACCTGAAACCAAGGCTGGGCTGACCACCATGGGGCCAGGAGAAGCACTCTCCCCCAATGAATATCCAGGACGTTGGACACTCAATGAATGTGAATGGCACAGAGAACTAAACCCCGAAAACTCAGCAGAAGAACCACCCAAAACGACCAGCCCCAAAGAACCACAGACTGCAGAGACCCCACCTGGTTGAGACAATGAACCACAGGGGGAACAGTCCGAATGGAGCCGGATCACAGAGCGCCGCAGCACCTGCCAAACAGCTGCTGACTCTCGCACTGTGCGTGAATCCGACAGAAGGACAGAGCTCAACGCCCCTGGCCGACCAAGTGAGTGCTAGTCACAAAACCCCAGCCAAGAAACGAAGCGTCAGTGAACACATCGAGTGAGGGAGGGGGAAGGCACCACGGCACTGAACCCCGAAAAACCCAAAGAGGAAGCCGGAGACGCAGCAACTGATGTAAGGACACCAGGAGTCGAACCCAGCAGTTGCGAGAGCAGCGAAAGGGGCTGCTCTGAAGATACCAGGACAGCCTCCGAAGCCAAAACTTGCTCAGCGGGTAAACCAGCATGGCAAAGTTCAGTCCCGCACAGCTGCTTGCTTTACCGCCAAGTGACCTGGGTCCCCCTCAAAAACAGCTGACAATGAGCCTACAGCCATAACAAAGCTGCAGGAGGGAGAGAGATATGGATGTACCTGCTTGATGGGGTTCTGGGAGTTGTTCTACTCACCAAGTCTAGTCTGAGGCCAGGTTTGACTTGTGCCATCCGAGAATCCCACACGAGGCCCAGCCAAGTCTGAACCTGGGACGGAACCAAATGGGACTTCCGCCAATTCAACAGGAGCCCGAACCCGGCAAGCTGGGAAAAGACTATATACCTGGCTAGCAGACATGCAGACTGGGTGGAAGCCAACACCAACCAGTCATCGAGGTAGGCCAGAACCTAAAGACCTAGCAAACTGAAGACGGGTCACGATGGTCCTGGTTAAGCACGTGAAAATGCGAGGTGCCAGATTCAGACCGAATGGAAGGCAACAAAAGTGGTAATCCTGTCGCCCAACCACGAACCCCCATCCAATTCCTGAACCCCAGATGAATAGGAAGTGCCAAAAAGCATCCTTGAGGTCCAAAGAAATCATCGAAACTCCTGGCTCGAGAATAAACCATACCTGGGACAATGTGGTCATCCAAAAGGGAGTGGTAAGGAATCAAACAGTTCAGACAGAACAAGTCCAGAATGAACCGAAGATCCGCACAGTCCTGTTTCGGAACTGGAAACAAGCGGGAAACCCACCTGAGGGATGAAGTTGTTTTGATCACGCCCAGGCGAACCTACTCCAAGATGACCTGACAGACAGAGGGAAGAAGCTTCACTAACCAGCCTTGAACCTTCAACAGGAGGAGTCGCCCAAAGCCATCACAGGCCAAAAGATACGACCCGAAAAGGCCATGAATCGCGGGACCATGCTTGGGCAAATAGAGCCCCCCCAGCGCCCAGTCAATGGGGCAACCCAGGAAAGGGCTGACGCGACCTCTTAGAAGCCAACTTCTGCACAGAGCGACCACCACGCCGACCAGACAAAGAAGACCCTGGAGGACACACCGGCTCAGAAACTGGCATCAAAGGCCCACATCGACCTACCGAAACTCGAGCCATGGCACGATTACCCCAAGAGGACCGAGAACCCCCCTTCCCCCCGAAGCAACAACAAATCAGAAATGGAGCGGCAACTGATAGAAGCCGCTGACAAAAACTAGGCAACACAGTCCTCCTGAAATAACAAGACAGAATGGAGACGAAGACTGCAATGTCAGAGCCCAAGCGGAATCAAAAGAGAGAGCAAGAACTGCCTGCTGACATGCGAGAGATACCATAAATACTGCCTCCTGGAGGATCAGCGCAAACAGCTTTAGCAAGGCAGCCAAAGATCCTGGAGAAGCCCAGAACCCCAGCCGAAGGTTCACTCAATGCCCCCACATCCCCTGAAAGCCAGTCTGAGGACAGCTCCAAAAGACTGAGGAAGCGCAAGACTGAGGCCAAATGACTACGAGTGTGATGATTATCCACTGCAGAACCCTCATCCATACCTACTACACCTGAAGAAAATGCGGAGTCCAGGGTTGAAGCTTCAAAGAAGCGAGTCTGCTGGGTCGACCCAGAAGCTTCAGCGGGAAAATCGGGCTCGACTACCTCCGCACCTGTAACGGAAGGGGCAGTCCCCGAAGCTACCCGAGCCTCATCTCGAGCTAAACCCTGCTCCAACTCCGAAACCCTCAGATATTTGCCCTGCTCCTCTCTCCCCCCCTGCTCCGACTCCAGTCCTCAGATATTTGGGAGCCGGTAGCAGGGGGAGAGAGAGGAGCAGGGCAAACCACACCCACCTGAGAAGGAAAAGGGAGTGCGGACTGAACCAAGACCGAGGCAACCAACGCCCTCAAATCCTGGTTCCTAGAACCCAAGCGAGGCAGTTCCGGGGCTTCTAAATGGGTGACCTGGCTTGTTGCAATAAAGAAAACCTAGCATGCAATGCAGCCGCTGCCTGACCCCTAAGATCTTCAGACAAAGAATGGGTAAACGGGAGCACAAGCAGAGAACAAATCCTGCAGGATTCCGGGTCGTAGGTGTCACTAACCCGACAGGCAGCATCAATGATCATCTCCCTGAGACAGGGGCAACAAACAACCTTCAACCTCGCACAAGGTGAGAGAGGACTCGGAAGACACGCACACGGTCACCCCGAGCCCTAAAGAGATTTCCAGGGGCCCGCAAGGGGGGTGGTGAGTAATCCCTATGGGGTAACCAAGGTACTGAGTTAGCTAGCCCAGTTGAACCGGTTGAACCCTGTCTAATACCAGGCAAACTGCCAACCAGTAGCAGTCGTGGAACCTCGAGGACACCAAAGGATGACTACCAAACAAAACTTAGATGGATCTCATAGGAAGCTAGGCAGCCCTCCACCAAAAGAAAGACTAAAAATACTGTACAGCAAACATCCCCAAAATCCCACAAACAAACAAACTGGCAGGCAGAGAGAATTGTCGGCTGCCGCATGTGTGCAGATCACAATTCGCCCCGCCCAGCAACAAATCACTCCCTACCCAGGATTAGATGAAACTCCCACGACCCCTGACTAACCCCAAGGGTAAAGGCACCACCAAGCGACGGAGACCTCTATGGGAGTGAGTCCCGAACGCTGCAGGGAAGAGAACCCTGAAATGGAAGGGTAGTACTTACAGGGCACCTAGGGAAGCTGGCCCTAGGCACATACTGCTATGCATACACAAAACACCTGGCCACCACACCACCACCACAGCTAGCACAGCCACACAAGGCAAAATCCAGACAGGAAAGCGAGGCCAGAGGTGATGTCTGACCACCATGCACATCAGTCAAGAACTGAAATGGTGAGCCGCCTGCTTGCCTGAACGGGCTTCCCCTCCATTTGGGGGAAGAGGGGAGACAACATACCAAAAAGCCAGAACCTCTCACAGAGGCACAGGGAGTAATTGCCTATGACAGCCTGCAATTGTTAACAATTGCAGGCTAACGAGTGGGCACACTAGTTGGAAGACAATTTACTTGTTTTCTTTTGTGGGGGGGGGGGGGGTTCTTTGGCTCCGTTTGGTTGTAAGTTACAAATTTCACCAGTTGGGGATTTGTATCGTTTCGCCTATCTTTCTGGGTGCCCTCCTCTGTCGACGGCAGAAATGATATAGACTAAATGTAGTGTTCATATAGCCATTGCTCCCTGCACCTCTCTGAGTGGACCAGGTTCTGGCTCGTGGTCTCTGGTAGGCATAAAGAACTTCCATGACCGATGATCCCAAACTAATATTGCACATGTCAGTTTGGATAGCTTCAGGGAGCCGATGGGGCTTCCCACAGAAAAAGTAACTTTTGCAGGTCTTTGTTAATAACCCTATTTAGCTCTTACTATACATTAATGTTTTATTTATCTGTGTCAGAATTTAGAAAGGTTCTCAGGAAACCAATCTTCATGCAAAATGAGGACCGCCTCCACTGTACATGAATTACTACATAAATATTAGGTGATATGTAATTCAAAGGCCGAGGAGTGTACACAATTGAACAAAGCCTTCACAGACCTTGGAAATGTTACAGCAATACTTCCCCTTTTAAAATTTATTTAAGCTATATACTGTATATATATTTATATATATATATATATATCTTTGAGACTTGCACTAAGACCTGGCTGGCCAGGCTGTTAACCCAGCCCGTGGTCTTCAAACAACCCCTGAGGTGTCTCCTCCTGTAAGGTGGAAAAAAAATGGCATGAAATTATTCCCACAGAAACAAAACATGCTATTAATGAAAAGTTCATGCATACATAAAAGTGTGATTTATAAGAAAGTTAAATCAGCATGCAGATGATAAGATGTCAGCATCCTTGACAACGACGACAAATACCAATATTTATTCAATTATATACAATACCTTTATGTTGCCCTAACTCCCTGTAGAAATGGTTGGCCAGACTATTTTTTTGTTTAACTATTCGTAGTATTATGAGACTCCTTTCAAGCCAAACCTCAACAATAAAAGCTAAAAGTGATTAACACACCAGTAATGTTCATGTAAAGTCCTGTTTATAGGCAATAAAACTTCTGACTAATTTACAGCACTGAACCTTTAAGTGGATTCACCTTCCATTCATTCTCACATACAACATTCATGCTAACAAAAATTTAAAATAAATTACAAATAACTACAAATGTCGTAATATGAACAAAATCTTAAAAAAAATTTGGAAATATAAATTTCAGCACAATCAAAATCAAATGATCACAATTATTGATCATTTGCAATGTTGCCAGGGAATGAGGAATTTGTAGAATTTTTGCCATATGGTAAATCTGTATAAAAAGAGCAATGCTTTATTACTGGCTCAACAAAAATACATATACAGTACTTATTAGTACAAGTAATTATCAAAAGAAGTCATTAAGCCAATGTGGTTTTATTGTACTATGCAGCTCTGTGATGATTCAATAGTTCTTAGATATATCACTTGGTATGTTGGAAACAAGTACAATTTAAATGTGTTCTCTATAATCTGATTATACATGCACAGTACAGGAAGGGTATCATTTAAATACAGTACAGGCAATCAAAAGATGGAACCAATTAATCAACATCTGTCACTGTTTTAATTTTACGTTTTACACTGTCCTTATTATGAACATCTGAATTCCAAGTAATGTACAGTAGAGTGAACTATATGCTTTGGATAAGAATTTTGTTGTTGAAATTTAAATCTCAACAACACATGGTATTAAATATTTTTAAATTTTGTTGAATTTATTTTTAAATTTAGTTATTATCTTTTTTGGTTTTATAATCACTTGTACTTTCTCCTTTGTTATTTTCCCATTACATTCATATAAGTTCATTTCTCTATGTAGTCTACTAGCAACTTCACAGTCTCCGTGGTGTAGTGGTAAGACACTCGCCTGGCGTTCCGCGAGCGCTATGTCATGGGTTCGTATCCTGGCCGGGGAGGATTTACTGGGCGCAATTCCTTAACTGTAGCCTCTGTTTAACGCAACAGTAAAATGTGTACTTGGATGAAAAAACAATTCTTCACGGCAGGGGATCGTATTCCAGGGACCTGCCCGAAACGCTAAGCGTACTAGTGGCTGTACAAGAATGTAACAACTCTTGTATATATCTAAAAAAAAAAAAAAAAAAAAAAAAAAAAAAAATTGCCCTTAAAACAAGCCAGATTTTAATGTTTTTTTAAACTTCATGAAAATGCTACTTGGACTCTCAAGACCTCGTTACAAAAGTTGTTGATGGTTGAAATGCTAAGATGTGAAAATATACATTCCAAACTATAAAGAGAGACGTGTTGTGGATGACAGTGAAGTCCGATACAGTGCGGTATATTAGACAGACAACTCTCGGTTTGCAGTAATATATTTCCCTTTCCATGCTCTTACATTCTGGCAGGTACAGCCATTCTTTGGTTAACCTCTACACTGCACCAGGTGACATATTAAGGGGGTGTGGTGGTGCGCCAACCAATATGTGAGGATGTTAGTACAGGTATATCATAAGATTTGAAACTCCCATGCATAATTATATGCATGGGATGCATATAATCGTATTACTGTATATGAATTATATGCATTATATTGAATTATACAGGGGGGCTCACAATTGCTTTCTCAGGCCTCCAGTAACCATCTCCCCATCTTGAAAAAATCCAGATTCCTTCACTTTCCTTCCATGGCCTTAGTAACGTGGCCTAGGTTACTAAGGCCTACGTAACGCTCCTAAGGCTATGGCTTTAGGAATGTGCAGGGCAGCCATACTATGAGCCACTGAAAGTTTAACAACAGCAAGTTTGTGATTACCATTACTGTATACATTTTAGGCAAAATGTGTGCTATGTCAAATTATAATATTTAGGTTCATATATATACATATATATATATATATATATATATATATATATATATATATATATATATATATATATATATATATATATATATATATATATATATATATATATATATATATATTTATTTATTTATTGTACCTAGTAGCCAGAATGAAGTACTTGGCCTACTATGCAAGGCCCGATTTGCCTAATAAGCCAAGTTTTCCTGAATTTATATATTTTTCGAATTTTTTCTTATGAAATGATAAAGCTATCTATTTCATTCTGTATGAGTTAATTTTTTGAAATTTGGGTTAAAACTAACGGAGGAAGAATTGAAACAGGAATATCCTTAAGTACTTTCGTATATTAATACATCTTCAGAAGGAATGAAATGAAGATGTATTAATTCCTTCTTTCATTCCTTCATTCATCTTCAGAAGGAAGGATTTCATTCCTTCTGAAGATGTATTTATATACAAAAGTACTTAAGGAAATTCCTGTTTCAATTCTTCCTCCGTGGTCTGACATTGTCACATTTTTCATCACGTGTTAATTTTCGTGATTTACACACACACATACATTTGCGGGCCCAAAGAGCCAAAGCTCAACCCCCGCAAGCACAATTACGTGAGTACATACATACATACATACATATATGAGACTAATGCATGGAATGCATAAACAGTATTTATACACACATATCTGTATATATATATATATTTTAAGTTATACATAATGAATACCATTTTTGACACATACTGTAGATACAACTTGTTGAGAGCGAAAAAATAAATAAATAAAGTGAGAAACATTGACCATATATTGAAAAGGTTATTTACATTCTTGTAAAGCCACTAGTACGCGTAGCGTTTCGGGCAGGTCCTTAACCCTAATTTCCCCGGAATACGACCCCGCCGAATCGTTTAACAACCAGGTACCCATTCACTGCTGGGTGAACAGAGGCTACAGTTAAGGATTGGCGCCCGGTCAATCCTCCCCGGCCAGGATTCGAACCCAAGGCAAGGCGCTTGCGAAACGCCAAGCGAGTGTCTTACCACTGCGCCACAGGGACTAAATTCTCATGAAGCAACACACCTTATTTGTACAAAAAAATATGCAACTTCTCCAGGCCACCACAGCTGTACTACAAGAGGTAGAGACTTTTTTACTTCAATTTTTGTGCTTCCTGGAGTGATAATTAACAATATCAAAAGAAATAAAATATTGTTTTTGGATTAATTTATTTTCGGCGCACCACAAGAATACCATTTTTTAAAAGGTGCGCAGCGCTGGGGTTAAGCAAGCAACATCAGTTGAAGGTCAGTGGCGGAGGTCACCAGAGGAGTGCAATAAACCAAGATGAGGATGTCACCTCCATTTAGTATCAATATAAATATGACAGAATTAGAATGTTTAGATACCAATTACCAATGCCAATTACCCACACATCGAAAACAAATTTCTAATTACCATTTGTTTTTTCAAAATATTAAAAAGGCTAAAATGTAGGAATGTTAGTGGAAATGATTATTTTATAACAGCAATGAGTAGATAAAGATGACTTGAGAGATTATAAAGCCAAAAGGAAAGTAGTTATGCAAGCAACTGGGGCAGCTCAGTAATCAGGCTAGTCTATTACGCAGCATACACATACCTAGTTAGCTCCAGATCATGAGAATTTCTAGTAATATTGCTAACATGCAAATATTTAGGTATAGTTGTGTGCACTCTCAGGCTTCAGTAGCCTATTTCTTTGTTTAGGTACATGTGCTCTCCAACATAAAGATGAGATAAACAGCTTGTTTTTGTATATACTGTACTGTACTATATATATTTCCAGTGTCTTGTGAAGAGAGCGTCAGAAATGCTGCATACAGAGAGGAATGGGAGAAAGAAAATTCTGTGTAATACAAGTTATATTTATTTCAGCAACTAGTCACAACTGATCATAAATACAAGCTTTAGCCACCACCAGTACATCACAGGTCAAAGAGAGCCAATATGCTACATGAAAAATATTACACTGCTATACATTCACTCGCAAGCAACACTATTACAAGGTAAACAAATAACTTACTCAAGTGCAATCTTTTAAATCTAAGTTAACTAGAAACATTCCAATTGTATCATTACAAAACAAAACTTGTCTAAGGGTCATTCACAAGTCATTACAGCTCAAATGTAGAAAAGGTAAAAAAATCTCATGAAACATTACCACAATCACTGTTCAGATTAACTCAGCTTAATTATACACAACTGGTCCCTGGGTGCATTTACAGACTTAATATAAAATAACTTTAAATTATATATATAAAAAGTTCAGGCTCTAGTTTCATTCCAAATGAGTCACACTTGCACTGGAGGTTTCCTTGTTTGATTGTAATCACCTTATCATTTGAATTATTGTTTCTTGTCATTATTATTGGATGAATGATTAACTTACCCATGAAATAGTATTACCTATGGAGCTTGTGAATATTTGTGCAATCAAATCACTGTGACCAAATGAGAATTATGCTACAAAACCCTCAAATAAGACCCATGTCCCTAAGGGCCATTTCCACGATTTCATCCTAGAAGAGGGAGGAAGGGAAGACCATATTAATATACTGCAACTCTCTAATGAGATTTTACAACCATAGTAATAAATAATCCATGTTTCCAATGGCTCGTCCAACTGTTAACAATTGCAAATTTAACAAAAGTATTAATACTGCAGCAACAAGGGCATCTAATAAGAACTGTTGAAAATAATTTGATAGTAAAGTTATATTAGCATGTTTCTCACACTCCAGTGATTAGTGCCATACATAAAACATCCACAGGAGGAACAATTATATTGCAATCAATGACATAGTTGT